TTTTTTTTTTTTTTTTTTTTTTTTTTTGGAGACAGAGTTTTGCTCTTGTCACCCAGGCTGGAGTGCAGTGGCGCAATCTCGGCTCACTGCAACCTCCACTTCCTGGGTTTAAGTGATTATCCTGCCTCAGCCTCCTGAGTAGCTGGGATTACAGGCACGTGCCACCATGCCTGGCTAATTTTGTTTTTTGTGGTTTTCTTTTGTAGTTTTAGTAGAGACAGGGTTTCAATATATTGGCCATGCTGATCTTGAACTCCTGACCTTAGGCAATCCACCCACCTTGGCCTCCCAAAGTGCTGGGATTACAGGTGTGAGCCACCACCCTTGGCCCAGACTTCATCTTTCTTTCTGCTGGATGCTTCCTGCCCTCGAACATCAGACTCCAAGTTCTTCAGCTGCTGGACTCTTGAACTTACACCAGTGGTTGGCCAGGGACTGTCAGGCCTTCAGCCATAGGCTAAAGGCTTCAATGTTAGCTTCCCTACTTTTGAGGTTTTAGGACTGAGACTGGCTTCCTTGCTCTTCAGCTCACAGAGGGCCTATTGTGGGACTTCACTTTGTGATCATGTGAGTCAATACTGCTTAATAAACTCCTCTCTCTCTATATATATATATATCCTATAGTTCTGTCCCTCAAGAGAATCCTGACTCATCCACATAGTGTGTGCATGGCAGCGGAAACCCTCCACAGCTGTTAATAAACTCCTGCATGGAGGGTGGATGGAGTGAGAAGAGAAGAAGGTCACAAACCTGCAGAACATCAACATAAATGAGAAACACGCAGAGAGCAAAGCTGGCAAAAGAGGCCGAGAAGGTACCAGCTGAGTTTTACAGTCGGCTCTAGAGAGTTGACCGTGCTCTCCCAGACTGCACTGTGAGGATTCCTTGCCCACATTATATACACCTGCTTGCTTTGGCACTACATTTAAACTACTTTGCATTTAGTTTAACAGAAATGAGAATGAGTAAACAGTGGCCACACGATTAGGGATAACCTTTTTTCAAGAATGTGAGCGTGCAGATATAAAGTCTATGCTAGTGTTACGAAGTCACGTGTGGAAGACATTTAGGCCGGAGTGCCTTTGGTGGGCTTGTCTACTCTTCATTCCATTCAGGTTTCCATCTTAAACTCTTACACCGGTTTTGTAATGCAGCAAACTTGCTCCCTTCGCTCCATCAATGCCGTCATGGTGACTCATTGCATCCCTTGGGAGGACTCTCACTTGGAAGGGATTAGTTTGACTCTAGAGGACTATTGGGCTGGGAACCAAATTGGTGTGTATTGAGGCTTTGGGCTCTCTTATGAGGCTGAATCACATGTCCCAATGGAAACTTTCCCCATCCCGGGAGTCATTAATGTGTCATAACCCATGATTTAAAAATGATTGGGTTTTTAGGACTTCCTTTCTTTCTCAGCCCACAGATTCTTATCCTTGCACACAGATTAAACCTTCTGAATATAAATGAAGGGGAAATCCTCCCACCATCTCCACCTGGAGCAATAATATGAGAACAGGCACAGCCAGAAACCACCTACTCTGAGCTCCTTAGGAGGGCAAAAATGTTTACCCTACTACGTTCTTGTGCCTGGCTGCCACTTTTTGTCCTCAACATCCCAACACTTTTTTTCCTTCTTGAAATGCCCTGAGTGACTACACAAAATAAAGAAGTCTTCCCAGCCTAGCAACTCAATTACTCACGAAGACCCAGCCAGGAAGCAGGACCTCCAGGGTGAAGTGACAGAAGTTGTGCCTCTCTCAGGGTGGAAGCCAACCTCGCCAGTGTTCTAGAAGCAGAGCCTGATTCCCAGGTGCCTTCCACATGCAAACATCTTTTTATGTCGACGTTTACCTTTGGGGGTTAGGAAATGGAAGCTGAGAGGGATGGGACCAAGTGTTTGCAAAGGTCTCTCAATTTTCCTGTTGAAAAGTGAGCAGTGCCATCAGGTCCGAGGGCGTGGGCATGGAAGACCAGAACAGAATGACAGAGAAAGGGGTGTGTGAAGGCATAAGCCTCTGATATTTCTCCCGTTTTCCCCTCCTGGGGTCCCTTGGTGTACCCCCTGATACATTTAGATCTTGATGTCTAGATTTAATTGTATCTGTGGAAAGAAGGGAAAATAGAGCTAGTTAGACATTTAAAGGCAGGCATCTGTGTTTCTGCTTGTTTGTCAAAGACACGTGACTTTTCACCCACGAACTGTTTAAGATATCACCAGCGCAAACCTCTGAATTCTGACTTGCCAGCTTTCACTCCAGTCCCTGATCCCTGCTCCTCCCCTTCCACACAGTATTTTTTAAGCTCCAATTTCCAGGTGTCACCCATTGCCCTGCGCCTCCATCTGCCCCTGCTGAAACAGCTGCATGTCCATATGTTCGGCTCATAGTATCTCTCACACTTTGCTCTCTGCCAGCTCCTCTGTGCTCCTCACATGCCTGGGGACTCCCCTCCTCCTCTCCCCAACCGCAGAAGCCTGTCTCCCTGCAGAGAGTTCTACATGGAAGAGGAGGGTCTCCAGGTGTGCACTGACATGAGAACACGGCAGCCAGGCCCATGGGACGAGGACATCTGTCTCACCGCTCTGCTCTTTCCTGCCCATGACCTCGCAGAGGCCTCAATTGGATCAGGCAATTTGTATGGTCAGGATCAAATGCTGCCCAATTTAATTCAATTACTCTTCACTGCAAGAGAAAATATGGTTATTATAGTGACAGGACCTCTGTGAGGAATGCAGGCTCCTGGCCAGCGACCTGCCAGCACGTTGCCAAGCTGTGAGGAGCAGCCACGGTGCAGTTGACACTGATTGGAAGGAGTGGGGCAGGGCTGTGCCTGCTCCCGAGCACTCACACGAGTGACCAAATCCTCGGCCACAACTGCCAGGGGCGCGTGTGAAACCCACAGAGAAGTGGGCATAGCTGTGGCGAGGCTCAGAGCGGAGCTGTGCAGAAGCCGGGTTGGGCCGTGACATGATAACTGAATTATTTACCAAGATCCTGGGGAGAAGAGATGAACCAGAAGTAGTGACAGCAGCCGGCAGAGAAAAGGGAGCTATTTTCCAAGATTACCATTTGAAGAGAAATTTCTTACTTATGGTTCATAAGCCTTTATGACAGATTTGACAACTAAGAAGAAAATGTCGACCTGCAATCTTTTTTTAAACTTCATCTTCTCCTAATTGCTCGTTACCTCGCCATATTTAATAATAATCGAAACCACCATTTATTCAGCAGTTACTGTTGACCAGCCACTGTTCACTGCTGTTTTCCTGGATCCGTTCCTGTTGGTCTCTCAAGAATCCTGTGAGCTCTGGGTCCTATTACTCCTGTTTTAGAGATGAGGAAAACCAGGTAGCAGGAGGCTGAGTAGCCTGCCTGGGGTCATATTGGTAGTAAGTGACAGAACAGGATTCAAGCCAGTCGATCACAAAGCCCTTCTTGATGTTTATGCTCTTGGCTTCATTTTCTCAAATTGCCTTTGCCTTTATAGGCATGTCCCTATGTCACTGAAGAGGGAGAAATGCTCCCAAAACTCCCAAGTACACTAGATACACAGAACCTGTGTCTACATGGGATCCTATCATCCTTTCTTAACCAGTGTAGTGGCTATGCACGTGGGGCTCTGGGTTCAAATCCCAGCTCCGCCACTTCCCAGCTGTGCGGCTACCATAGGTTACCTAATTCTCTGTGTTTCAGTTCCCTCGTGTGCAAATGAGGAGACTATTTCCTCTTAGGGTTGTGTAGAGGACTAACAGAATCAACACACTTAAAGTTGTACCTGGAAAAAATGTGCAAAAATTAATGGTTATTATCCATTTGTATCACATCTCTTCTAAAAGCA